TTTTTTTTTTTTTTTTTTTTTTGATTTATCAAGCCAAATATCTGACTGAAAGAATATCATATTTTTTGGTCTTGAAGTATTTGCTATTAAAGTTTATGATCTAGAAAGTTAATTCTGGTGGTAGGACAATGATGATCATAATAAGAAATTGAAAAGGTTATTTGAATTAGGACAAAACCTATATTTGACTGCAGCAAACAAGATCTACAAGATTGATATATTTGCAGTCAATTCTCATCTTCTAATTGTAATCAAATTGTTCCAAATGTTGCGTAACCATATTCATGCTATATATAATTTTAGAAAGTAGCAAGGTGCCTCAGCGTCAAACTCGTACATATGCTTGGAAAACTTCATGTTTCCTATTCACATACACAGGCTCGGATATTACCATCTAAGCTTGGGAATTATCATGTTTCCTATCCAATGGCTGCCTACAAATCTGAAACCATTCGTCTATTTGTCTTTAGATTCTATTAATCCTGGCAGAATCAAGAAGTTGGCATTTAGAACCCACCAAATTGTTTTGTGAAAACTAGAAGTTCACTAGTATAATTGGGATGTTAGTTCAACAACTCACTCTCTTCCATATTAAACAAGAAATCACACAATAACCGCTTGCATTTTTATCCTTTCGTTTTTTTTTTCCAGGTAATGAGGATGGTCGGGTGGATAACAAAGGAATTGTAATCAGATGTTGCATCCTCTAACGGGATCGTGATCAGTTGTTGCATATTGAATATCCTCTAATGTAGCGCGCCCTTAATGGAGCATGTGGCTATTTAAGTGCATATATAAAGTTTAAAATTCAATGTATCATTGTTAGTTTTTCTAGGATAAAATGTAAACTAACTTCCCATATCAATATACATGGGATAAAATTTAATTTGTGGCTAATTATGATGGAATTCCTTCGAATAATTTGTGTCTGTGACACGGCGTTTGAAAGTTGCATAGGTTAATTTTTCTTGAATATTGTCGTCTTAGTTTGTTGGCGGTCTGACGACAATTATACATTATACATTGCCGGTGGTATATTGGAGCTCAGATCAGCAGGATTTGATGTTGATTTATTCAATTTCAAAACTTAGCTCCAATGAGTGCTTTAAATCAATAGTGTTGGACGTTGCACTTCAGTTTTCAAATTTCTTAACATGCACATGTAAGCACAAATATCATCTACCGTGAAGGTTGCAGGCCCACGTCCGACACCCATTGCACATGTTCCTTTCATTTGATCTTTTTTAGGGTTAAAGAGTTTATATAGTGAGTATTATAAAACTAGAGAGAAAAAGAGATAATAGAGAAAATGTTTCGCTTAGGTACAATTTTCATTATAACTGAACATTTTATTTATAGGAAACTTCTGATGGCACAACCGTAATAATACAATTACATCAAGGGTAAAATAGTCATTCACATACATTATTTTATAATAAAATTAATGGTGGTGGACCATATATATTTATAACACTTCTCCTTGGATGACTAGTAACACTCCCCATTGAATGACTATTTTCTAAACATATTTGAATCATTATTTAAACAAAGCCCAATCTGCACATCATCAAGTATATCTTGTGGCGATCAGGTACCATTGCTTCAGCATGTCAGAAAAACCCGGTGGGACAAAACCTGATCATCGTGAAATCATAACATTGCTTCATCAGGAAAACCCGATGGGATAAAACTTGATCATTATGGAATCACAACATTTCTCCTCAGGAAAACCCGGTGGGACAAAACCTGAGCATTGTGGAAGCACAACATTGCTCCCCCTCAAAGAGATCATCTTTAGTGGAGTATCCATGTGCTGCCTCGTTAAAACCTTGTCAAGAAAACCCAGTGGAAAAAAACTTGATCGAAGGAAAAAGAGTACAGCTACTCCAGTATCATCATGAGGAATCATATCAATAATCCAGTAGTCCTCATTATACCATGCATATGCCTCGTTAAAACCTTATTAGAAAAAACCCAGTGGGACAAAATCCTAATAAAGGAAAAAGAGTACACTATTCATGTGAATACGCCATCACTGTTGCCTCATTAAAAACCTTGCTAGAAAAACCCAATGGGACAAAACCTCAGCCAAGGGAAAAAAGAGTACAACGAGTATTCCATATATTCATCATAATAGCCCTTCCATAATTTTCATGAATATCATATAGATTCATTCAGATTTTTCGATACTAGTGGTATTTATGATAATATTTCATATCATGCTTTTGTGCAACTATCATTCTTCAACTCATTCTCATAATCAACCAATTTCAATGGTCTTACTGCCAATAGTTCCCAATATTCTCATTTCAGCTGATTTCATTCTCATCAATATCATTTATATAGCGCTATTCATTTGTTTGTGTCGACACTTATTCATTTCATTTTTCCCAGTAATATTCAGATATCTCATTATCAATTGATTTCATCGATAGTATACATATGCCTCTTTTCATCCCTTATTTGGGGAATTTCAATTTGCACAATACCAACGCTTTTCAGCGTATTATTTCGTCATCATATCATTTCATATATTTCACCACCACCAGTATCATTCTATGATTTTCACACTTTTAGTGTGATGCATATATCATTTCCAAAATTTCAATAATTGATTCTCCCTTTCATCTTAACAGATCCCTGATCTGTATTTTCAGTATTGAGTTTCTTGAGGGGAGTTCATATAATCTCCATTTCGTTCTCGATTTCAACACATAGTAGGAGGACTTTGAACTCATATCACTTGTAATGTGCACATCTTTCATGAGTTCATCATATGAGCTGATTATATTACTAGCTTCATCACTTTCATATGACACTTATTTTCATTCTTTCATAGCCATCTTGTGTCATTATTTGATCAAACCATTTCGTAACTTCAGGATACGTGTCATATACACAATCAAATCATCTCGTAACTTCAGGTTACGGATCACACACATGTGGCTATCTAGTGGATCCATAATATCTAGTAGCACACATGGAGGGGTAGTGGGCCCATATATATCATACCCCTTTCATACCCAGTTTGATCAAATATCGATTCACAAATATTTAGCTAGTAATAATTTCACTAATCGAGAACAAAACATCTCATATTACAAAAAATCAGTTAATCAAGCAAACCATCATCATTTATATCAGTAAACATCACAATAATTCATTGTGACCCATTTACCAAAAACATATCACATCATTTTTCGGCGACAATAAATACCCTTTAAGTGCAGATTCTGACTTACAATATCTCAATTTAGAATCGTATCACGTGCATATTATTCCTTCTGTAGCACAGATTCTCTGTTTTTAGAGTCGTATAGCATACATATCATTTCTATAAATTATCATGTAATCCATTCAATCTTTCTGAATAAGGGTCTAAATTTACAGATGGATTTAGCACTCTCAAATATCTGTAAATATTATTCTTTTGTTCAAGTAAATATCATAAAAAAATTTATCGGTCTCGAATAGAAAGATTGAGGGTACTAATGATTAATGATATTCCAGGCGATATTCGATGGTTGATTGAAGCAAAAGTTCGATTGTCGGGAGAGTTTCCAAATTCTTACAAATATATGTCAGGTATGGGAAAGAGTACTTTTGCAAAGAAACGAAGAGCAAAACGATTAGGTGGATGCTTCAAATGCGCTCGATGGACTTGTGACACGATGTAAATCAGTGGGGTTCGTGTCCAAAAATCGAGAAGATAAAATAGGATTTATAAAGGATGGATTGAGTAAGGAGTCTATGGATCAAATGATTCACCAATTCTTGAGACACATCCTAGTGGGTATGTGCATCGTGAGCTTCTGTCTCTATGAATTCGTTTAAAAAATGAAGAGGAACATTATAGTCTCGAAAATATTGTTTCAAAAGATCAAGTTTGTAAAACTAGTCTTGTTAGTATGATAAATCATACTAATGAAGTTTAGTAGTTGCACTGTAATTTTCAGAGAATCTTATAGCTGCCGACATATAAGATTTATTTAAAACCCAACACCTTATTTGTCAGTTGCAATTGTCAGAAGAAAATAGTAAAATTATTTATCGTTTTGTGAAACTTTCCTTTTAAATTGCGAGTCGTCCATCATAATCTAATGATCTCTCATTATGAACCCAGATAACAATAATGGGTGGCATAGTTACAAAGTTTTATACTCTCGAGACGCACCCTCCTTTTATGGGTTCTATTATGTAATATTTGCGTGTTTCGTATTTATCGAGTATGTACTGCGTCTTCTCCATATTTCCACCATATGAACTTTCTGTACTTGTTTCTCATTAATAATAATATCAATTTCGCTTTTTCACAAGAAGTGTGTAGTGTTTCATGACTACAATTATTGTCATGTGTGCTTCTTCTGGAGCACATCAATGTAATATCTATATGATCTCATATTATCAATGTGATCTTGTCATCAGATATCTTCCCTTAGACTCATATATTGAGAAATCATTTTGTGTGATCACTCATAACTGGTAGCTTTTGAATCCACTTTCTCAAATTGTTCAATTTTCTAATGATAGCTTCTGGTACCACTTCATCGTTTTAATTTATCATAATGTGGTAGCTTCAAGTATCACTATACCATGATATCATCATTATGTTGTAGCTTTTGGTATCATATGGTTACTCCACAAATTTGGAGAAGTTATCAACTGTTTTTCATGATCATGCTAGTCCATATAATTTTCTTTCCCGATTAGGACTTTATTCAACTTTCACATGGCCAGATACAATGTATCATTCATTTCACTCATCGGCTATCACTTATTGGTACTGCCCGTCGCCGGTGGCAGAGCCGCAATGGCCGGCCCATGTATATATATATAGCCATTCATACTTTATTGCACGTGGCCTTACCACCTGGCCATTCCACATTATCGGCTATTATTAATTAATGCACTGGCCGATTTATTTAGTCGGTCAATATTATCCGTTGCTAATGGTTGCAACACTTGGCCATTTCACATAACTGTCATAATATTTTGACCAACAATTGACCCGTAGGCTACCATTAAATATTTCTTGCCGGCGGCAGAGCCGCACTGGCTGATCCATATAGCACACATATTTATTTTCTTGTCACAATGGTCAATACATAAATATTCGTATGTTCATGCATCAAATATTACAATAGACAATCCATAAATATGAACATGTCCATGTATCAAATAATTTTCACAATAACCAAATTCAAGCATTTTATAACCATAATATATTTGATGTATTATAATAAATCATATCAATATTGGTCTTCAAATGAAGCTCTCTTCTTACTGTGTATTATGAAGTGTAGAAGGATAAATTTCGAGTATATATGCTAATTAAGACAATGGATCTTTTAATGACTCATATCAATATAACTCATGAATGTCCATTTTTATGTTTTGAGAAACGTGGCTCCCAAAAGGCCATGCTCATAAATTGTTTTGGCATTTAATGTTAACTTGTCAATAGTAAACTTGGTGGGTGTTGCGACATGAATGGTGGTCATTAAACTATTTCTCATTTTCTTACAAACATGATTCAATATTATATATATCTCCATTACAATTTTCTTCACGAAATGAAAAGATCATTTATTTCTCTTCCATCAAATGCCTTTCCTCTTCTTCTTATCTCCTATCAAATATTTATGAGCTACTTATTTTATCCCCAAGCTCAAACTTTTTTTTTTCAGCAATAAGGATAAATTTCATAAAA